CGACCCGTATAAGAATAGCTCTCTTCAATTGCGGATACTCAAAATTGTTAACCAATTTCGCGTATTTCTGAGCATTCGTTATTCCATCAAGAAGGTACGGGTTTCCCAAAACATGGTAGCCAAAGCAGCCTTAAATGATTTGTTTTTAATTTTTTTCACCACAAAAATTATCCTGGAACCTCTCCCTACCTGAACGGCACATGTAAACCAAATTTTTTGACCGTAATATATCAAATTTGCTTTTGTCAGACCACATAATCTGTTACCAGTAATATAGATTCCAATGTTGGTTGGTTAGCTTTTTGTCAGGGCATTTTTCATATAAGCCCACACCTCTCAGGTGTTGGCGAATGGTTTCAACACATGAATCCACTTAATGTACATTTTGTACCCCGCCTTTATAGAAAGTGCACTATTGAAGCAGTCGCTTAAACTTATCCGCCGCTGTAAATTGTCTGTTCTCTCAGTTGGCTTTCGAGGAGGACTAAAACATCCCTGTTATCCGAACAATAGAACTAGAAACAATTCTAGTTACTAATTGCTGAGAAGATCACTTTACGCGTTAAATAGAAATTTTCTAAAATTTACAGTAATATATGTAGCTCAAGATCTACAAAGAGGATGGTACATTTTTTTTAACCGCAAGTGTTTATAAACGTTTACGGAAATTATTGCTTAATATAAAAAGAATACTTTTTTTCGTAATTATTTGGAAATGCCCCGGTGTAATCGTTCATCTTGTTCGTCACTCACAGCTCATAACTTTGCCGGAAAGAAATCCAAATGTATTTATAAGGACATATTACACCCCAGAGCTTTATATGTTCATTTATAAAGTTTTCGTAATTTTCCGAATGACGGTTTTCTAAAAAATCTTGGATCATTTCCATTCTCCTGATCATTTGGTTTTTCCACCTTTAATAATTGATCTCTGAGTTTTCAGAATTTATCCTTCAGAAATACAAATCCACTGTCATCTCTAGACATAGCTTTTACAAAATTTACAAATTTTATAGGGCCGTGATTTATGTGCAATTGTGGTAAAAGAATGTAATCATAACTCAAAAAAGAGTCACTTTTAACATTTTTAGCGCCTGCAGAGAGTGATTTCCGCTTGGGCCACACTTCTTTGTATATTCATATTTTCTGTCCCATTCGATACTGAAAATTTTGTTAGCAGTTCACACATGTTCCACAAAATTTATGTGGAACCCGAAATTTATCTTGATTGTTCACACTAAATATAAAAAAAGTCTGAATAGCACTGTTGAATGAATAACGTGAAAGTAACTGAAGTTTAGAAGGTAGTTTACATAAACTGTTGAAGTCGTTGAACACTTCCGTGGATGTTTATGATGCAAAGAACGTATATATGATGTAAGTTAGTCGAATGCAATAGTTACACACTCATATAAATGAAATTATTACGGGGTTAGGTGAATATCTCTAGAATATTGTCCTAAATTTTCAAGTTGATCCGAGTAATAGTTTCGGAAATACAGCCTTGAAAACTTGTGCGCTCGGAGTTATCTAGGCTAAATGCACCGCCTTTAAACGTGTTCTTCTCGTTTTTGAAGTCGGTGGACACGATTTCTTGAAAAGACCGATCTAGTTTCAATTGTGTACACATCTTTAAAATAACATTATCTAGTTATTGACCGAAAATTTTTTTCATTAGAACTTATTTTTTAAGTCATAAACCGGCGAAATCTTTACCAAAAAATTAGATTTTATGTTCGAAGTCAGAAAAATTTAAAATTTTTAATTTTTTTCCATCGCTCAAACAGGAAATTTTTATATGCTTATTGAATATTTTTGGTTTTTTAATTTTAAATGAATCAATTATAAGTCATGCTGTCCACGGCGGGAGCACTTCTTTGTGATACACCCAAGGAGATGAGGTCTCAACGGTTGAATTTTCGATATTTTTATATCAAAATTTCAGGAGACATTGTTCAAATATGTACTTTTGGTAGCCATATTATATTTTTGAAATGTCTTTATTACTGCTCATATTAAAAAATATCATTCCTTTTTTTGTACTTCTGAAACCCACCTTACCCCTTAAAAAAGGCACAATTATAAGATCAGCTGCGTATGCGTCAAAAGATTCCACTATAACACCATTTGGATTAGATGCAACACTTGCATTAGGTAGAGCCATCATAACACCGTTCAGATCTTAAGACACATAGGAATGGTCCATACGTTTTCTGACCCCATTCTAACAAAGCACTCCAGCGACAAAGTCTCTTCGTCGTGCAAAAATCTTCTATTTCGCGCATTTTATCGACACTCCTGCCGAGTGGCAGTGGAGCTTTACTAGGCAGCATTGCGATCAATCTGATTAAACACCTAGCCGCACGAGTGTAAGTTATCTCACTCAGATGACACTGTCCACCACCACATTTGTTCGCCTTACCACACCTCGGCTTGTTGATGATTCGATATAATCTATTTAAATACCTTAAGTGATATTTTTATCGATTTATAACTTATAACCCCGACATACCAAATAAATGGTCAGCTGGCAATGCAGGGATAATGGGATGCCCAACTTTTTCCAGCGTGAGAGAACCTCAAAATAAGCGTTTTTATAATACTTTCTGTGGCCAGGTCGAACAAAATAAGAACTTTTGGGCATTTAAATTCAAACACCCAACATTTATTGCGGTTGCAAATTATTATTAATTTTAATATATGGCGAAACTGATATTCTTTTTTACGATTATATGGTATACTTAAACAACTGGCTTTCAATCTTTCAATACTTACCGAAAACTCCAATATTGGCGGATTTATACAACATGAAGTCACCCATAAGTTCGAAAATCTGTATGTCTGGAAAGTGAAGTACGCGCGGTTATAGTCCGATATAGGAATATATGAAGAATGGTATGTACTTTATTTGGTCGAAATCGGTCTATTGTATCCCGAGATATGTATACACTGTGAATAAAGTGTGTTTAATGTGGTGAATCTTTGAACTTTAAGGAAATATCTCGTAAACTAAGCGTTTGCGGTACCTATAACGCTGTATATTTTTGAATCAGGAGGACTTCCTCTTTCCAACGGTGCCTTCAAATCGCGGCCCCAAAGAATATAGTAAATAACAGTGCAGGAGTAGAGCAGATAAGGGCCCCTCTCACACCCTATATCTAATCATATGGTAATGTTTTATCCAACATTCATCGAATGTAATTGCAAAGTCGACGGCTAAAACCAAGATACTACACTTAAGAGAACGCAGACTTGATATTGTTCTGTGCAATGCTTCGGGAATATTATTTTCTTATTCAGTTAAAACTTTCACTATAATTCATATATGTACATGTACGCATGTATGTAAACAAAAACCACTGTACCTTGCCAGTAGCTGTGTGATTTTATTTTGCATTTTTGTTTTGAAATATAATTTTTTATTTATGAATTATTTTGACCTTGAACATAAGACGATTGAAAGTAGCCTATGCCCGTCTCGAGGTTGCAAGCTACCTCATCAAAAAACCGGTTCCGCTGTTCTTGAGTTGTAAATATACTCATAAATTGCAAAATCGAGGGTAATTTTTCAAAAAAGGACATCGTTAGGACCTTCTCCAGGACTAAAGGAATACCCGTGTAATTTGTTTCGTCTTTCCGTGCAGTAGTGTGGGAGCAATGCGCAGACATACAAAAAAGGCATTTAATTTTTATATATAAGACTTAATTTGGCTGAGTCGTTTTGTTGTGTGACGAACCAAAATAAAACATCTGTTTGCATGTGATGGGTAAGTTTTCTTAAAAATGAAGTGGGCAAAAACCTATGGCTTGATGCTGTTCCGGTAATTATAATGTTAATGTAATTATAAAACGGTTTTAGTCCAAATTCAATTATTTAAATGAGTATGGAAGAGTTTTCTTATCAAAATACTGTTAATGATACTCGATAGTAATAATAATTTATTGCTATAAGCATCCGTGACAACAGAAGCTCAGGAGGGAAATGGGAAATCAAAGAAATTTAGGTTTGGTATCAGGAGCTCTTAGGGAACAGAAACTGATGGAGGAAATTCTGAAAATAATAACCGTTTAATGCAGGACTTTTCGTGGCAAGAGTTCAAGGACTTCCACGAACAGAACATTCGTTCAATAGGCTAGTATTAGACAGCAACTTTGAGCAATGCATTTGCATAATTTAGTGGATATTTATATTTAAAAATATTTAGGGCACACACTTGCTCTCAGGACTTAAATTGCAAAGGAAATGAGATTTCAGTTGAATACCTCCTTACGCAGAAAAGGCAAATTGACAGGTGTAATTTGATTAAGCCGCCTCAGGGATTTTTGTATTACTTAAAGTATATAGAAAAAATTTTTGTTAGGGAATTTGATTGCAATTGTCACAGAATAGGTGTAGGACAATTATTATTTGATAGTATGAAGCAGTTCAGCCCTTATAAACTTTGTAATAATAGCAACAGTAATGATAATCTAACATTATGTATTAGGATTCGTATATTTTTCGCCCTTAAATTTTTAAATAGAAACCAGAGTACACTTCATTTTAAGACAAAAATATTATATGCTTGGCATGTGTAGGATTTTTTAGAAAAAAGTATCTTCAAAGTTGACACATAGAAACAACATTTTGGAAATAATTTTAAAACCTCATTTTTCTTCGGCTTCTTGTTTCATCTTTTTAATTGGTTTTTATTATTTAAAACTGGGTTCTTGCAAACTTTGGCATGAATTGTTTAGTTTTTCTGTTATTTTTTCTTATTTTGAATTGTTAAATTAGTTATAAGAAATGTATTTACTTATCTAAGTACTTATCTCTTTCATGCCCGATTGTATATATATGCTTCTAAGTACCATTATTTCAATTTTATAACACACGGTTTTTTACACTATGTACTCTGATGTATTGTGTAAGCTTACAGTGAATTGTTTTATTGTAGGCTATACAGCGGTTCATAAGTAGGCGTTTTTCGTAGAGAGAAATTGTCAATATCGCGAAAAAAGGCGTTTAAGCAAAAAGTATTTAAAAAGATTAAAATAGCTGTTTTGTTGTAAGCCAAGGGAACAGCATAAAAATAAAGGCAATATCGTTAGTCAACATCACAATTAGTCATTAGAAAGGTGTTTAGTTTTACAATAATTTTGTAAAAATGCTGTTTCCTGTGGGCAACATCCTGTTACTAACTAACCAGGACACTAAGGACTTTGACATTCTTATCACTTCATATATGAGTTAAGACTAACATATATATCTGTCCTAAAAAATTTTTTAGCTCCTTCCATTTTAATTCGGGCATGAGAGGGTTATTATTATTGGCATACACATTGTGATATTTTTACACTTTTGCAACCAGTTGCGACAGAGTATTAAAGCTTTGTTCACCTAACGGTTGCAAGTATCAGCTAAAACTAATCGAGATAGATATACAGCGCACGCTCGCTAATGTGAACACTCCATAGTTCGAACACCCTATAATGTGAACAGACTTTTTTATGCATTGACTACTCTATAATGTGAACAAACCCAAAAGGCTCTATAATATGAACAAAAGACGTTAAAGTATTTGAATGTAGTTTACACAGATCTCAGCTAATTCTGAATTTGGGGAATCCCCTAATTGTAGAATAAGACTATCATTTGTATTGCATGTAATGCGTAGAATACTTCAGTTGCAATTTTGTATTCGCGTGGAGTGTTTCGTTTTAGATTTTCTGTTAAAAATGAACTCAAAAAAACCCCCTTATTTGACATTGAAGCAAGAAGCTGATATTCTCGATTCTTTAAAAAGAGGCTAATCTATGACGTTCTTAGCAGAAAAATATAATGTTGCTAAATTAACAATTTGTGGAATCAAAGCAAAAAACAAGTGATTTTAAAGTTCGGGAACAACACATACTCGGGACCTGGACAAAGAAGAACTCTGCGTCCTTCAGAGCTGCCCAAAATGGAGAAAGCTCTTTATCGTTTGTTTATCAAAATGCGGAATAAAAACTGGCTAGTAAGTGCCTTAATGTTGAAAGAAAAGGCCAAAGTACTGCATGCACAAGTAAAGGAAAATGAATCTAACTTCAACGCTAGTGATGGATGGCTTCACTGCTGCAAATATCCGGCGAAAAACTATATTCGCTGCCTCAGCTAGTGGATCCATTTAAGGAAAAACTTAGAGCTAAAATGGCCGAACTGGAGCTGTGTAACGACCAGTTATATAATGCTGATGAGTCAGGCTTATTCTGAAAACTTCTGCCAGAAAAAACGTACGTCTCCAGTATGGAAAAGAGAGCACAGTTGAGGATTTATTTTGTATTTTGTTAACTTTTTTCTTTTAAGTTTGTTTTTTAGGTAACGTAATTTTTAAAGGAGAAAGGTTTGCCAATTAATGCTCTACTCCTAACCGACAACGCTCCTTCTCACTCAAATGAAGCTCAGCTGGCAACGGAGGATGGACAAATTTTGGCAATGTTTATGCCACCAAACGGTGATCCAACCAATGGATCAAAATGCCATAAAGACCACAAAGTTACATTACAGAAACAGCCTTTTAGCCTCAATAGCAGCTACAAACTCCAATTTACTCGATTCGATGAAAAAAATTACTTTACGAAGAGCTATAAATCTTTTGGATGTCGCTTGGAATCGTGTCAGCGAAGTAACATCAGCCAATTGTTGGAAAAATATTTTAAATTTTAGGGAGATGATGATGATCCCGAAGATAGTGTTCCGCTCGCAGTTTTAAAAGAAAAATGGGGAGCTGAACTTCGCGCCTTGATGAGCAATACCGTCGATCTCTTTAACAGTTAGAATGTTCAGGTTTGTTCGTTTTCGCAGAATCGCACAAAGATATGCAGGTTATTGAAAATGATTTTCTTATTAACCACTTTAGGCTGAATTAACGCTACCAGGCGTTCATGAATGGAACGAAGATATTGAAGATGCTAATGCAAATGACGAGCATGAAGAAGAAGACGATTCCGATGAAGGCAGCGTATCGGAGGTAGAGGAGAAAATTAAGCAGACTGAAGCAGTTGAAATTTTCAACAAGGTCATGAAGACCTCGATCCAAATTATGAAAATGTACTAAGACGTCTAAGAGAGAATGCTGTGCTCCAACTTTTAGAAACACAGAGGATTCCGGAAAGGATGACTGATTTTTTCAAATAAAACCTAGATTTTGTATAATATGTGTTACGTAAAAATGTATATGTAATGAAAGCAAGAATAAAATGTGAATTCCAATATATAAATACGTACTATCCTATTCATTCCATAATGTGAACACTTTCGATAATGTGAACTGCCTTGGCTTGAATTAGGTCAGATTATCGAGCGTGCACTGTAGCTTTATAGATATATAAATGAAAGTGAAAGTTTAAATCCGGTCGACTGTCTGTTTGTCCGCCCTTGGGTCAGAGAGGGCTGTAACTTGAGTAAAAATTGAGATATCTTGATGAAACTTGGTATGTAGGTTTCTTAGTACAAAAAAAATTCGAGTTCGTAGATGAGCGCAACCGGACCATTGCCACGCCCACAAATCGCCATTAACTGAAAACCTATAATGTGCCATAACTAAGCAAGGGAAAAGTGAGCATGGCGTCGCCCTCTAATAAGTTTAATATACCTTATATATATATCCTAAACTACTAAAGCTACAACAACCGAATTCACTCAACACGTATATTACAAGGACTCCTACCTATAGTTTAAAAATGAAATCGAATGAAACCCACGTTCAATCCCCCTTTAACGGCACTGTTCAAAACTATTAAAAAAGCGATAAATCAATAATTAAATGCGCCAGAGACGTTAAAAGATGGTACGACGAGACTTAACAAGGACCAGGGTACAAATTGGACGACGGGCGTGGCACGCGCAAAATTCCATACATCTTTCGCAGAACGTTTCTCTCGAAAACTGGCAACGTTGACTCATCAGTTGTTATCAACGTCCAGGCCGCTGTATCCTGCGTTTGAGTTCCAGGCTGATATTCTTGGTGGTGTTAATACTGGTTCCAACATAAACAAAATTATCTACGATTTCGTAGTTATGACTGTTTGATGACAGGAGATATTTCGTCTTGCCCTCGTTCACCACCAGACCCATGTGCTTCGATTCCTTCGGGAGAAAGCAGAACTAAGAAAGCTTGAACTAATATAGAAGGTATCTTTGGTCACATCACCCTCCTCTTCCGTCGGGGCATGGGCGCAAATCAGCGATATATTGAAGAACCTCGCTTTGATGCGGATTGTGGCTAGACGTTCATTCACCGGAGTGACTGATAGTACTCGCCGACGGAGTCTCTCACCCACAACGAAGCCCACACAAAACTTGCGCTCGTTTATATGGCCACTGTAGTAAATGCCACAAGGACCTACTCGTCTCAGCCCTTGTCTCGTCCATCGCATTTCTTGCGCGGCGGTAATATCAGCCTTCACTCTAGCGAGAACATCAACCAGCTGGACAGCGGCACCTTCCCAATTAAGGCACTGCACATTCCAGGTGCAGGAGCTTAAATCATAGTCCTTAATTCGTTTATCATGGTCGTCATCAAAAGAGGGGTTTCTCGTCCGAGGCTTGTTGTTCTTTTTCATTGGGTGCGTTTTTTACGTGCCGGTGCGAAACCCAGCGCACAACCCTGCAGAGAACCTTCTCAATTTAGCTCGATTTCAAACCGATTTTCTTAGGCTACCCAGAGAATACTTTTTCAAAGACCGGACTCCTGGCCACTCCCAAGTGAATGGCGATCAGAGAACTTTCCTCACTTACGTGAACTTCTACACATGACTCCATCCTCCAATTTCGATGTCACATTGTGAAAATGAGCGACAATAACCGTACCTACTTACCATATAGCACAGTTCTAAATCTCTCTTGATTCTTTGAGTTTCCAGTATACAAATTTTTAATGAATGAAATGAATTAATATAACGGGATTAAACTTTGCACGAATAATACCAACAGTGAATACACCACCTCATGATCAAAAATAGTTTAAATCCAACAAAACGTGTTCAAGCCCCGAGGTACCGAATATTTGGATCCCAGTACCAATAGTTGACTTTTGATCGAAAATTTCGGGATATGTGATTGAAATTCAGGCATAGTCACCCCTATCATCCATTTCAGTTACCGCTCCGCCGGAGTCGAAATTAGATATCATGCGTTGCAGTTGGATTGAAAGAAGAAGAGGAAGAGCTATAACTCTTTCGAAATCAGCTGTTTGCCTTGAAATATGTGAAACAAACCAAAAATACACAAATTACTGTTGTTCAAAGAAAATAAATAAAAGTAAAATTTGTATATTGTTATTATTTTTATTAAGCGTATTGAGAAGGAGAGCAGCGCAACTCAGGATGCTGGGGTGATTATTGAAAGGAGAAGATTACGAGATATGTGCGATCCCTTCCAGATGAATGACGGGCTGTAAGTAATTGCACGTGAAAGTAGACAATATTTTTACAATTTGTTTACCTATTTAGATTCAAAAAAAACTTTCGTCTGAATAAGGCCGCATGTCCTAGATACGTTTGCGGAGAAACAACGGTAAGTACTTTGTCCTCTTTATCTTCGCTTAACATTGTAGTATCCACTTTAAGATTTTTTGCGGAAGGCAGCTACCAGAATGGAGTTATCGCAGACCACAATGTTGGAATGGCACAGTCAACCCTGTCAAAAAGCTGTCAAAGTTTCTCCAAATAATGCAGAGAAAGCTATGCCCACAGTGGACGCTCACGCTCATGTATGGGGATTGCGCAAACTGAGGTGCTATATGGAACGACGATATCGTGAAGGTGAAAGGAACACATGGCTGTTAGGTATTTAGGTATATATGTATGTTTCTTAGACAATTTAAAATAGTTATTTGCTATTTTTTCAAGGCGATGCTGGATACCCATTACAACTTTGGCTAATGCCTCCATATCGTTCCGTAAGTCAAGGCAGTCGACAAAGTAATTATGACATAAAGCACTCCAAAACAAGAAATATTATAGAGCGAACGATTGGTGTTTTGAAGAACCACTTTCGATGTTTGTTGGGAGCTCGAGAGCTGCATTACTCGCCTCAAAAAGCGAGTCAAATTATAAATGTGTAAGTGCTTGTGCACTACACAATATTTGCATTTTCTACAAAGTAGAAGATTTGAACTCGATAGAATTTGATAATGAAAGCCGTCAAAAGGAAGGTGAACGAAGCAATGACCCTGAATTTACTTCAACAGCAAATCGTATTCGTGACAACATACTTTCTTCTTTTCAAAGTGTATAAAATTTTATTTCAATATTTCATGTTTTTCTTTAAATTCAAAATTTATCTATGTTAATTTAAGAATAAAATTCAGAGCAAATCACTTTTTGTTACACAAAAATACAATTCATTTTCAAATTGCTTAAAGATAATAAAAAAAATTTTGTCTTTATAGATGGGATCTAATTTTAGCATTTGCATTTTTATATCCAACTTTTCTTTTAGCAGTTGTTCTTCTACTTTGTTGTGTCGTGCTGCTCTTGAAGCTGCTTTACTGCAGTGTCTGCCAACACTTCTAGAGAGCGGTTCATTCGTCGTAAATATGTCACTGCTTCTTTCATTTTGCTCATAATGAAGTTTTGTTCCGGCATAAAACTCTTTCTGCAGATCTTGTTGCTCCCTTAGTAACGATGCAGCGCTCTCCTYTTCTGATCGTCTCTCTCTGTTATGGCTGCTAGCTCTGCTGGTTGACGGCACATCGTCTGAATGTATCGAAATGTCTATTTCGGAGGTTCGGGCTGCGTCTTGTGTGCTATCGCCATAATCGTACGTATTCTTTATTCCACTTGTACTCCTTTCCAACCCCGTTAAGCGCAAAATTTTCTCCTCAAGTGGATTTAAACGTTGTAAACGACATTGACCTCCCCCTGTGCTCATCATTTCCTTCTTATTGCTAGTTAGCTTCCGTTTAATATAGCACTTCCAGTCAATCCAAACCTGTAACAAAACGTTAGTTTTTAGAAATTCGTTTTCAATTCCTTACTTTCTCCATGCATTTGAGTCTTTTGATGGTGGACCAGTTTCTTTTAAATTTGATGCTACCTTTTTCCAAAAAGCCTGCACATCTTCTTTAGGACGCTGGTGAAAATCGTTGGCTATATCTTGCTTACTCTCCATCATATCTGCCAATTTTCCATATTGCTTTGGTGTTGTTGTTTTTGACCTGAAAGCATATCATAAAACATCATTATAGCGCATAAACTGGAAATATCGTGTGTTTTATAACTTTTAAATACAGGTTTTACTTACATTTTTAGAAAATTAAAAAAAAAATCACGCAAATAATAAAATTTTCGCAGCAAAAAAAAACACAAAAAGTTCTCCGCCAACAAAATTGCAATTTAGCAGAACGGAGCTACGATCGAAATGCATGATAGGAAGAATTGTAAATTTCGAAGTTGAACTGAACGGTAACGGAACGCATGATACCAAAGTTGCCAAACGGAGAAAATTTCAATCCAAGTCGAAATGCATGATAGGGGTGAGTATTTCCCTTACAATGCCTTATCTGTATGTTAACATGGCTAGAATCAGGTCTATACTTCCTTGAGCCGCCATATATCTAATAAAATAGATAAAAACTTGACTTACCCCTGATATATTTAATATCAGGTTTTTCGAACAGCCGGGTTACTTTACTCTACATATATATATATATATATGATTTTTTTTTAGTATGTGACATGTTAATATTATATGGTATTGGTACTTATTTTTAATATATACATATATATTTTTTATGTTGTACATGGGTGATATAGGCCTACTAGGGAACGAAGCACCCAAAAATAATATCGGTTACGCGCTATTTGCATACCTATGTCGTAGTGTGGAAATTGCAAAATATCCAAAAGTTATTTTTTAAATACCCAATCCAATATTTTCCAGCAGTGGTATCATTGGTAAATGTTATAAAAAAATGCGAGTTATCCCAGCGCTCTCTCGAATCAAAGCGTTTCGTATCAATTTATCTATGACATGGGGTTTGCTATACTGATCCTATGGTAAACGAACCCGAGCCGTCTACTATCTGTATCTTACGTGGAAGTACCCACGACCCTATGGTAAGTCAACGACAAACCACTTAGTGAAAAAATGTACCCGCATGAAATCGTATGCAAATTTTAGCGATCAGACATCCCATTTGCTCACGTTATTTTGTGCGTATGCCGGTTCATGCTGGTTGACAAAATTTTTGGCAGCATTTCAGTTGAATCGAGAGAAGAGGGCCATAAATTAAGACTAACATGTAAGGAATGACTAAGTCCGGGTACAACCGAACATTTTATACCCTTGTAACTTGCAAGAATCAAAGACAGGAAAATACCTTAAAATGTAAAACTTCAACCAGAAGATCGGAATGTAATCAATTGTATATATTATATATGTGATATGTACACGATGCGGTTCAAAGTGAACAGGACTCTCTGAATTTAGCGCCCCCTGGTTTCGCAATCTATATGTCGACTGGTGCGTTAGAATCTGCTATCCTTATCGATTGCCCGCTGAGAATTTCATCATATTTCATGAATTGGAAGTGAAGTTATTGGTTTTAAGTGTCAGTATGTTTGTGTTATCGGTGCGAAAATGAGCTTCGAACAAAGAGCTAACATTAAATTTTTTTTTTAAATTGGTAAAACTTTTACAGAAACGTTTCAATTGATGAAACACGTTCATGGCGATGATTGCCTATCTCGTAGCAGAGTGCAAGAGTGGTCGTGAGGACTTAAATGAACATCAACATGTGGGCCAATCAAAATCCGTGATCACCGGAAATTCCGTTGAAACTGTGCGTGAATTCATTAAAAATCAGCCAAAATCATTATTGAAATTCATGGAAATGGAATTGAACAACTCCAAAACATCGATTTATCGCATTTTGACCGAGCATTTGGGCTTTCGAAATGTGTGTGCACGGTTTTTCCGCACAAATTGGCTGACATCCAAAAAAGCTGTCTCATTGATCGACGCTTGTGACCGATTATTTAACGAAAAATAATTTTTGAACCATTAACCACTCTCCGTATTCACCTGATATGGCACCGTGCGACTTCTTCCTTTTTGAAAAAATGCATTTGCCTATGAAAGGAAATCGTTATGCAGACGTAGAGGTCATTCAAAATCATACCGGCCAACGAGCTAGATCAAGTTTTCACCCAATTGCATCTATACAATGTTAAGAGCAAAATATGTTTTTTAATTTTCCTAAAGAAAACTCAAATATTGGCCGATTTATACAACATGAAGTCACCCATAAGTTCGATAAGCTGTATATCTGGAAAGTGAAGTAGGCGCGATTAAAGTCCGAAAATATAAGACGAATGGTACGTACTTTATTTGGTCGAAATCGATCTTTTTTTTGTTTTTTTTTTTCATAAAAGCTTATACAATGTTAGTTACATATGTTCAACCTAAAGCATACAGCGCTAGCTTCAGAAGTTAGCAGCTGGGATATCGATCTATTGAATCCCGTGATATGTGATTTCACCAAAAAGTCCTCCAATTTTTCAACGCCTTCTTATGCCTTTTCGGAGGTAAAATCTGATGTCTCTAACGTATTTAATTATTGATTTATCGCCATGGTATGACGCAATGTGATTGTTATTACTGGAGATATACGACTACCAATATTTGTGTTAAGCAAATTTTGTTGTTGTAGCTTTAGTATTTTAAGAGGTGTCTACATTAAACGAACGGACAGACAGTCACCGAATTTCAACATTTCTCGTCATCCTAATCATTTATACATATATACATATATAGTTTTAGGTGATACATAAAACTGCTAGGTGAACAAGACTATTATACTCTGTAGCAACAGGTTGCATAATTATAAAAATATATAAGGGCAGTTCAGAATCTTGTGCATCATTATGCAATTGCAAATATTAACCATCAACAATGAACATCTTTTTTATGGTTTCTTTGCAACTTTTTCAAATACCATTAATTCATAACTGATCGGTGAAGAAAAACATTGAAATAAAGCTTTAGGGAAAAATTAGTTGACGCTTTAGTTGATGAAGCTGCTGAAGAAATTATGGACATTAAAGGTATGAAATATTTTTATGCGGAATTTCAGTTAATAACGGTTTCCTTCCAGAAATCGAAGGTGATGATGACGCATTGGATGCAGCTATATAATAATTGGGTGACAATATATGTTGCTATGGAATGTCGTCGAGGAGTTTACAATACAATACCTAAATCAGACATTTGGCTCAATAATATTTTGACAACACTGGTCGAAGACCAATTCCGCCAAATGTTAAAAGTAGATAGAGGACAATATAAGATACGGGTTGATTTAAAAAAACGGTGAGAACAATATCTATATCATCGGCATACGCCAGCAGCTGTACACTCTTGCAGATTGTACCTGCTCGATTAAGTTGTGCAGCTCGAATTATTTTCTCCAGCAGCAGATTGAAGAGCCGCAAGATAGGGAGTCGCCTTGTCTGAAACCTCGTTTGGTATCGAACATCTCGGAGAGGTCCTTCCCGAATCCGACGGAGCTTTTGCTGTTGCTCAAAGTCAGTTTACACAGCCGTATTAGTTTTGCGGGGATACCAAATTCAGAAATCTCGGCATAAAAGCAGCTCCGTTTCGTGTTGTCGAAAGCAGCTTAGAAATCGACGAAGAGATGGTGTGTGTCGATTCTCTTTCACGGGTCTTTCCAAGATTTTGTGCATGGTGAATATCTGGTCGGTGTTTGATTTGCAAGGACTAAAGAGACACTGATAAGGTCCAATCAGTTTGCTGACGGTAAGCTTAAATCTTTCACACAATGCGCTCGATAGAGCTTTATACGCGACGTTGAGGAGGCTTATGTATCTGGCGCAGATTGCGATGTCCCCTTTTTATGGATTGGGCATAGCACACTTAAATTTCAATCTTTGGGCATACTTTCCTCCGACAATATTTTACAAAGAAGCTGATGCATGCTCCTTTTCAGTTTTTTGCCGCCGTGTTTGAATAGCGCCATCGGCCCCCGCCGCTTTGTTGTTCTTCAGACGGGTAATTGCTATTCGAGCTTCTTCATCGGGCAATGGAACGTGTGCTCCATCGTCATCGACTGGGGAATCGGGTTCGCCTTCTCCTGGCGTTGTACGTTCACTGCCATTCAGTAGGCTGGGGACGTGTTCCCTTCATAATTGAAGTATGCTCTGGGCATCGGTGGCTAGATCACCTTAGGAAGTTCTACAAGAGTATGCTCCGGTCTTGAAACCTTCTTTAAGCCGCCGAATTTTTTCGTAAAATTTTCGAGCATTACCCCTATCGGCCAGCTTATCAAGCTCTTGGTACTCACGCATTTCGGCCTCTTTCTTTTTYTGTCTGCAAATGCGTCTCGCTTCCTTCTTTAACTCTCGGTATCTATCCCATCCCGCACGTGTTGTGGTCGATCGTAACGTTGCGAAGTAGGCAGCCTGTTTTCTCTCCGCTGCGACACGGCACTCCTCGTCGTACCAGCTGTTCTTTTGCACTTTCCGAAAACCAATGGTTTCGGTTGCGGCTGTACGTAAGGAGTTTGAAATTCCGTCCCACAGTTCCCTTATACCGAGTTGTTGACGAGTGCTCTCAGAGCAGGAGTGCAAGCCGAGTAGAAAATCGTTCGGCTGTCTGTTGTGATTGCAGCTTCTCGACGTTGAACCTTCTTTGTGTTTGTTGGCATGCGTTTTTTGCTGCACAGAGGCGGGTGCGAATCTTGGCTGCAACAAAATAGTGGTCCGAATCTATGCTAGGACCTCGGAGCGCACGCACATCTAAAACACTGAAGACGTGTCTTCCGTCTTTCACAACATGATCGATCTGGTTGGTGGTTTTTCGATCCGGAGACAGCCAGGTAGCTTGATGTATCTTCTTATGTTGCCATCTAGTACTGCAGATAACCATATTTCGGGCCCCGGCGAAGTCGATCAGCCTCAATCCATTCGGGAATGTTTCGTCGTGGAGGGGCTGAATTTACCGAGCGTAGTGCCAAAGATACCTTCTTTGCCCACCCTGGCGTTAAAGTCGCCAAGCACGACTTCGACATCGTGGTAGGGGCAGCTCTCATAAGTGCGCTCCAAGCACTCATAGAAGATCTCTTTGGTCACATCAACCTTCTCTTCCGTCGGGGCGTAGACGCAAATCAGCGATATGTTAAAGAACCTCGCTTTGATGCGGATTGTGGCTAAACGTTCATTCACCAGAGTTCCAGGGTTCCATCTGTGGTCCATATATTTGGAACCTTATGATGGACACTCTGCTTGGGCAGCTCGA